ATCACGATTACCCATGTCATGATCCAATATGTATCACGATACCCATGTCATGATCCATATCATGATCCGATGTATCACGATACCCATGTCATGATCCATATGTATCAATGATCCAATATGTATACCCATGTCATGATCCGATATATCCACGATTACCCATGTCATGATCCGATATGTATCACGATACCCATGTATTATGTATCACGCGTAACCTATTTTTACATTTTGAACATTAATATTTCATATTAATATTTCATATTATGTTGTCTTTGAGTTATAATTCTAAAGTTCTAATTTCCCATCTTTGTGCATAAAAAATAATCATTTATAACTCTCATAACATCAAAAAACATGATACAATTGAAAAATGTAAACGATACATAAACATATTTAAACTGATACTTTCAAAAAACTAAATATCAATACAGTTTTGAATGTATCGATAATTGTATGTCTTAGAAAAAGTATCGATGCATCGTGGCATCCCTAAATGTATCATCAGCATAACAGCTGAACTGTTGATGATGAAATTAAACTAATAACTAAGTGAGTGATTGGGCCAAGATAACACCACTTTAAGGAAAGTTCAACAAAAAATCACAGATCACCAATAGCACCTAAAGAATCACACTGATACCCAGATCAGGAACTAAACCAGACTGTTAGTAGTGCCCACTCAAATATCATGGCTCCCTAACACAATATAAAAGACTTAATCTGGTAACTTTGGAAAAAGGAATTTATGTACACCTGTAGAAGACCTATGTAGTTAAAAGGGTTAAACACGGTTAATAGGTTGTATTTACTTTGTGTCTCATGTATTCACTACACAAGAGTGGGTGGAATCCCTTTAACACAATTCATGGAGTGCTTTGCGTAGGCCCAGGAAATATTAGTTGTTGGTTGTCATGAGTATTTTATTTTATTTTATTTTATTTTTAATTTTTTTTATTTTACTAATTACATACTGTTTTTCCATCACCTTTATTAAATTGTATTTGTGACGTCATTCCATTGTCTGCTCGCTCCATTACTTTTCAGGAACGGAGCGATGTGTACCAGTTTCAAATTAAAGCTTTCATTTTGTCATTTTGACATTTAATTTTGATAACAGAAATATTCCCAATACTTTGAATGTAATTTACGTAGGGTAATATCCTCGTAACTCTCCATTCCTTAACAATAATGTGCCTCGGCTCCTCGCCCCCTCGGCTCCATTATTTTTAAGGAATGGACAGTTACTCGGACATTACCCTCTACGGTACACATGATGTTTCTCGCCACTGTGTCCCATGGTTGTGCCAACATACAGTGCAGCCACCTGTACGACAAGCCAGGGAATGGGCCGACACGAACACAGGCCTGTTCCATTGACAGAAACAAACTGACACAAACAGGCAACAATGTGTCCATTTGAATGGAGTCATGTTTGTAACCTTGATGGGTAGATTAGATCAAGGGTTAGCAGTTACTTGGACTTGGTATAAGCTGTACAACAAGAACACACTTGCAAGGTATTAAGTGTATCATATGCTTGACTGAAATAATCACGTGTACAGAAATTCCACTGACACTTATAATGAAAGTTTAGGTTTCTGGGTAAGTGTGGGTCTCAAGCAACACATGCTTGCTGTGCAGGATTCCACTGTCCAGATGTACAGTTAGAACAGGTGCCCTGCATCCTATTGCTCATTGTACCAGACAATTCCCCTGTTGGGATTCCAAGTCGGAGCGGGTTCCCAGCAATCTATGCTCATTGTACCAGAAAAATCCCCTGTTGGGATTCCAAGTCGGAACGGGTTGCCAGCAATCTATGCTCAATGTACCAGAAAAATCCCCTGTTGGGATTCCAAGTCGGAACGGGTTCCCAGCAATCTATGCTCAATGTACCAGATAATTCCCCTGCTGGGATCCCAAGTCAGAGCGGGTTCCAAGCAATCTATGCTCATTGTACCAGAAAAATCCGACAATTCCCCTGCTGGGATCCCAAGTCAGAGCCGGGTTCCAAGCAATCTATGCTCATTGTACCAGAAAAATCCCCTGTTGGGATTCCAAGTCAGAGCGGGTTCCCAGCAATCTATGCTCAATGTACCAGACAATTCCCCTGCTGGGATCCCAAGTCAGAGCGGGTTCCAAGCAATCTATGCTCATTGTACCAGAAAAATCCCCTGTTGGGATCCAAGTCGGAGCGGGTTCCAAGCAATCTATGCTCATTGTACCAGAAAAATCCCCTGTTGGGATTCCAAGTCAGAGCGGGTTCCAAGCAATCTATGCTCATTGTACCAGACAATCCCCTGTTGGGATTCCAAGTCAGAGCGGGTTCCCAGCAATCTATGCTCATTGTACCAGACAATCCCCTGTTGGGATTCCAAATCAGAGCGGGTTCCCAGCAATCTATGCTCATTGTACCAGAAAAATCCCCTGTTGGGATTCCAAGTCGGAGCGGGTTCCCAGCAATCTATGCTCATTGTATAAAATAATTCCCTTTCGGGGATACCAAGTTTGAACTATTCCCCAACAATCTATGCTCCTTGTACCAGACAATTCCCCTTTTGGCATTCTAAGTTAGAACAGGTCCCTAGCAATCTATATTCATTGTACAAGACAATTCCCGTTGGGATTCCAAGTTAGAACTATTCTCCAGCAATCTATGCTCCATACACAAAGCGACTACATGGATAAGATGGTTAGACAGGTTGAATCAATGGAAATGCTTTGAACCATAAGGACTCTACATATGTATTTTGGATTCATTTGATGGACAATTTGTTGTAAATTGTCTTTACACAGAGTTGTAGAAACTAATGACAACATAACATGTCTTTCAGTGGCATTTAGAAGTTGTACATTGATGTCCAAGATATTTTTATGGATTAAACTTCTTTGTTAATTTCTCTCACGACGTTTCGAGACCATTCCAGGTCCCTTCATCAGGTGAACTGGCAGTTAGGACTATGATGTCGTCACTATGACGTCATAACTGAGTTATGACGTCACAATGCAAGTGACATCACAGTACACTAGGGAGAGTACTGTATAAGTGAGTTTGAAGAGTTAATTACATAATGATGAAAATTCATGCTAAATAATAGAGTTGAAAGTTGAATTGTCAATACACAACAACTGCTAATTACACAAAGGTTACTTGATAGCAGGCTTTCCAAAAAAGAATAGTAGACTCGTTTTTTCTTTTATCTAAAGTTCATCAAAAGTTAATCAAGAGGTCCCACGCACTTGGCAGGTATACACCTTGATCACGATTAATTGCTGGTTTATGTCTCCTTATCTCGACAGCTTCCTGTAGTTTTCTCCGACGCCAGTCGTTGTTATTTCTCGAAATCACCCTAATATCATTCCACATGATAACATGACTTGGGTTATTTGCCTTGTGCTCCGATATAGCTGACTTATCATTTTGTTTGCATACTGATGACTTGTGTTCATAACCCAAGTCATGTTATCATGTGGAATGATATTAGGGTGATTTCGAGAAATAACAACGACTGGCGTCGGAGAAAACTACAGGAAGCTGTCGAGATAAGGAGACATAAACCAGCAATTAATCGTGATCAAGGTGTATACCTGCCAAGTGCGTGGGACCTCTTGATTAACTTTTGATGAACTTTAGATAAAAGAAAAAACGAGTCTACTATTCTTTTTGGAAAGCCTGCTATCAAGTAACCTTTGTGTAATTAGCAGTTGTTGTGTATTGACAATTCAACTTTCAACTCTATTATTTAGCATGAATTTTCATCATTATGTAATTAACTCTTCAAACTCACTTATACAGTACTCTCCCTAGTGTACTGTGATGTCACTTGCATTGTGACGTCATAACTCAGTTATGACGTCATAGTGACGACGTCATAGTCCTAACTGCCAGTTCACCTGATGAAGGGACCTGGAATGGTCTCGAAACGTCGTGAGAGAAATTAACAAAGAAGTTTAATCCATAAAAATATCTTGGACGACAACATAACAGTAATGAAGAATCAGTGATAATGAATATATTGGAGACGAATTGTTCCAAAACTTTTCACTGATTGGCCAATCAACATTCTCATCTTATATTCAGCTGAGAGATTAGCCAAACCACTTCGGTCATTTCCAGTGTTACCGAGTCAAACAGACTGGTTCTTCTGTATTTTCTTGTGATGAACCCACGAGAAGATAAACAAGCAAGACTTCTAGTAGTACATGTGTCTATATAATCTCTGATTAAAATGCATCGGTCTCACGCCAAACACATGACAGTTTGATCTCTGATGTAAATACATGATTCTCACACCAAACATGTGACAGTGTGATCTCTCATGAAAATATGTGATTCTCATTCCAAAAAGGTGGCAGTGAGCTCTGATGAAAATACATGATTCTCACACCAAACATGTGACAGTGTGATCTCTGATGAAAATATGTGATTCTCATTCCAAAAAGGTGGCAGTGATCTATGATGAAAATACATGATTCTCACACCAAACATGTGACAGTGTGATCTCTGATGAAAATATCTGATTCTCATTCCAAAAAGGTGGCAGTGATCTCTGATGAAAAAAAATGATTCTCACACCAAACATGTGACAGTGTGATCTCTCATGAAAATATGTGATTCTCACACCAAACATGTGACAGTGTGATCTCTCATGAAAATATGCGATTCTCATGCCAGACAAGTGGCTTTGTGATCTCTTCTGATCTCACACCCACAGGGGTGGAAATAACCCATTGCCCGATGCCCGAGTCCAGTGTTTTTTTCTGTTGGGCAAGCAAATTTGTATATCACACTGTACCGGAGTCCAGTTGACTTTCCAATATTAATTATGCTGTTTATTTAAAAAATCAAAAAGAAAACGGCCGGTATAGTGGAAAAATTATCAGGGCAAGTGATTTTACATGTGCCACTGTATCGGAGTACACTAGCAATTTTAAAGTTATTTCCACCCTGACCCGACATGTGACTTTGTGAAACTACTGAGTTTGATAATGGCCAGAGTACTCACTGTTTCCATCAGGGTTTATGATCATCGTCATCTTGTCCTGCATCTTGATGATCAGTTTGGCCTGGCGGTCCTTCTCCCTGTTCATCAATAATCACAAAATTGAAGCATGCTCGTAGATCAGGAATTATACGTTTTTTACAATAGTATCAAGATTTTTCAAAACCATGATATACCATTGTTTAATCTTGCTCTTGTGCATAGTTGGTGAGTGAGTGTAGTTTTACGCCGCACTCAGCAATTTTCCAGCTATATGGCAGTGGTCTGTAAATAATCGAGTCTAGACCAGACAATCCAGTGGTCAACATCATGAGCATCGCGCAACTGGGAACCGATGACATGTGTCAACCAAGTCAGCGAGCCTGACCACCTGAACCTGTTAGTCGCCTCTTACAACAAGCATGGGTTGCTGAAGGTACATTCTAAGTCGGACCTTCACGGGTGCATAGTTGGTACATTGGATGAGTACAATGGCAAAAAAAGTATTTTGCATTTAAGAAGTGAAAATGATGGAAAGTTTTGCTTTGTAATCATCCTTTGAGATCAAGTCCTGTTTTAAGATTTAACTTTTCCATCAGATAAAACATTTCAATACTCCTGCCAAAAAATTAAAATCTTTTAAAACACTATGGCAATCACAATTTTGCACTATAATATATAACACAGAGCATGATACCATTTCAGATGACAGCAGTCAACATTTTTAATTTATCACACGTCAGTATTTTTATTTCAAGAAATAAATCTTGCTCTTGTGCATAGTCTTGTGCATAGTATTTTTATTTCAAGAAATAAAAATAAGGCACAACTGCACTCTCACCCAGATCGTACAAACAGTTACCTGAATCATTCAGATTCTGATTTTTTCTATTAGAAAAAGTCAAATACAATACTTTATTTTCTTGCAGTAATATTTTGCTTTAAAAAAAAAAATTGTGCGATTATGAGAGCGTGATTTGTCATGAAAAAGCAAAAGTCTCCAATAAAATATATTAGCTATCACATATCATGCTGACCTTACTTGACATAACAAAATATTCTTTTATGGGCTAAAAAAAGTCAATGGCTTTAGATGCAAACAACGACATTTGGTTTGCTTGGAATACTTATTTCTTTAATACTGCATTCACCATCAATGTGCTGACACTTAGAAACTTTACAAAGCAAGACACTTAAGAAGGCCATTAACAGCAAGTTAAATGTCTTTTCAGGGAATGAAAAGCTGTGTACAAACTGTTCAAACAGCACTAAAACTAAATCTTTTTAATAACAGTTGCTTGACAAATACATACCCCTTATATAATGCTGTTTTTAGTGAACCATTCCTACATTATATATAAGAAAAAGCAGACTGTCTCATAATTTTTTAGTTTTAGGTGCCAATTATGACTGCTTACAGACTGGTCCAGAAATCGGTCTGGGGAGATATTGAACGGGGTGTTCATTATGATGAATATGGTGTATTGTCTGACAGCACAAGGGGCATATTGTGCACATATTTTTAACAAGTGCTTGATTAGGTTGGAGAAATATGTGAATGCACAATCTTATGGAATTACAATCAAACAGAAATTTGGGTTGGCGAAGTATGTGCATGCATTAGATAACTATGGAGTCACAATGAATAGAATCTGGATTCAATTCATGACAAGCAGATTCCGGTAATACTGTGATTTTAATCCCACATGACCACTCAAATTTCACCACCCTGACCCACCCCTCTATCCACCAGCCCCACCTCTGTTCCCCACCTCAGTATTACTCTGTCCACCTGTGGCCTGAGTGTAATTATCGTCTCATTGTTACGAACTCTGTTGGGCAGGTGTTGCTGAACACATTGAGTCTACAACAATTGACTGTTATGTCTGGGTGCTACAGTATAACAGTGTAATATGATATAAATAGTACTGACTTATTTGTTTATAGGTTTAACAAACAATCAACATGTCATAAAAATCTTGTATCTTTCAAAGATGGAGATATGTCTGTATTTTGGTGGCACACATTTAATCCCTCTGTCTCTAAATTTAATAATGTTATTGTCAGCTATTTCTTGCTAAAAAACAGAATTGGATGTCAGAATACAATTCACTGAATAATTATCTCATTTGAATTTTGACTGATCTTTAGGTTTTCAGAAACACTTTCAACAGTTAACAAAAATTATTACTCTGCATAAGTTTTTACAACAAAATTGTTATAAAACATTGCACATTATTTATTTTTACCAATAATGGCCTCAAATTCAGTTAGGTAAGAATTCCAAGTAATCAGTAAGTAATCTCTAATGGCACTATCCAGAATGTTAATACAAATCATATATAATTCATTAATAATATTCAAATATATTCACTTACCTTTGGTTAAAGGGACGGACCCTCACGGCCACTTTCACCCTGAAGAAAACAATATGAAATATTATAATAATCTTCCACACCAAAACAAACAAGACAAATTTACACATAACATTTGTCTATACACTTTCAGTTGAGCAAATTAAATAAGAATGTAGTACCTTTAGTGGTAGACTATAACAGTAAGGCTTTTTGTCAAAACTCACAATTACTTCAATATTTTTGTCAACTAAAATTGTTTACACAAAGACAAAATGATAATTGAACTTACGAGTTTTCTGCCATTGTGATTATGTATTAGACATATATTATTGTAACCATACAAGAGACAGCAGTCGTTAAGTAACACAAATAATAATTCTCCTAGCGTGTAGAAAAGTCCGGGCACTCGAGGTTTGCAAACAAGATTCTATCTACGACTGTCACAATCGCCCCGCACCAACTCCAGGCGGCGAGTAAATGTAAATGTACTTACGAATCCTCCGGCATGCTCGTGTGTCTTTAGCTTCTAATACGTAATCCTGATCCCAGATTATATGGGATAAATTCCATATCAAACAGTGGCGACACAAGCCATATCTCCTCGCCCGACTAACTCGCCACTGCGCTATTCGTATGATTGTCGAGTAGGGAGACACGACCCAGTAACTATAGTCTATATCTCATAATGTCATTACCAATTCAGCTGGGTAGATAAGTGTTTTTGTACTGCATCCGCCTTTTTTAAATATAAGTTGAAGATGGGATTTTATATTTTCGAGTCTTTAAGTTACTAGGTAATAAATTATGTAGGTCGCTGTATGTGTTTTATCTGACGAATTAGGTGTTAGGCGATAACACTTTTCCCATTTTTGCGTAGTCATCTTTGCTAAACGGTTATCGTTTTAACACATTGAATTATTCATCTACATAATAAAAATGTGAAAAAATGACAAAATGTGAAAAAGACATTTTAGGTTTGTACTGCTCATTTTACAAATAGGTATGTAAGAGTGTTTAAACGATGTACTGATAGTATCTATGGGAAACTGGCGTCGGAGCGTGAATTATATTAAAGACTGAGAATTATTATGAAAACGCATTACTCTGTATAAACCCATTAAAGATTATCAGCTATCATTGGAAACTAGAGAAATCACAACATAGGCCATTACGACAAAGTTTAGCTATATTATGCGGATCACGAGTCCATTGAATATAGAACTAGCTATAAGCGCTGTTGTTGTCATGGTCACGGAATAAACAATCACGAGACAATAGCTCTCGCTCAAAGAGGGGACGATCGATGGTGTTAAATCGAAGTGTTTCGCCGTTTCTAACGTATATCTAAGGGAATATAACATAACAATTGCTTATATAAATATTTCAGGCCGTTACTCGAGACATAAATACCTACCTGCGTTGCAAGTGTGCATAATTTATTCAGGATCATATACAAAAGTTCATGATATCGCATGATTGTCTGAGAGGGTGTATCACATATAATTAATTGTGGTATTTCGAAAATCGAAGTGAGAGAAAAAAACACACGTGGATTTAGTAAATCATTTTCATTGAAAGTCGGATCCTTGTGAGCTGATTGCTGGTGAATGAATTCATCATATCACTGTTGGAGATTAAGAGAATAAGCAAGGCGCGACGAATAATTTCGGATTATCTGGATTATCCCTGGCTTTCGAGAGTGACTTACATCATTTATTCACAAGGGATAGATTATCCATAATTCCGAGTTTTTAATAGTTCATTCTTATATCAATCGTTGGTATTTTTGGGGTGGGAAATAATATTAAGTCAACACTACAAAGAAACTTCTTTGAAAGAAAACTTTGTTCAGATGACGTAATGTAAGCCTTTTGTGACGACATGGACAGAGAATGACGTATCACATGCTATATTTGGGATTACACTTTCTCTGTAAATAAAAGTACAAGCCGCAGTCACTGAGTGGTCTGACTTCGTGTGCTGGCGATGAATTTCCTGAATCTGAGGATGTGGGTTCGAATCCCGGATGGGGCTCAACCTAACAAAAGTACTAGAATCTGTACTTTACAGAGGAAGTTTAATCCCAAATATAATATGTGTTATATCTGCCGACTTTCTACATGGCATTGTGTATGCAAAGAATGACGTCATATACTAGTAGTATGTTCTGTTTAGTGAAGCAATGTGACGTCATTTGGCTTTTAGGCGAATCTACATTGAGAATATAGCATGTGCAAATATCCGGTAGTTATTACACACGATCTTTCTATCCTTGTTCGAGTTTTATGCACGAACCGTGAAGATCCTGGTTAGAATTGGCCTTCAGCAACCCATGTTTCTCGTAAGAGGCGACTAAAGGGATCGGGTGGTTAGGCTCGCTGACTTGGTTGGCACATGTCATCGGTTCCCATCTGCCTAAATCAATGTTCATGCTGTCGATCATTGGATTGTCTGATCGAGACACGAATATTTAAAGACCGGCGCCATGTAACTGGAGTACTGCGTGATTACACACTCTCAGGGGGTGTGGGTTCGAATCCCGGACGGGGCTCAACTAAAAAAAGTACTAGAACTTAGTACTATACTAAGAAAGTGTAATCCCAAATATAACACATGTTACATTGGAGTACTGCGTTATTTACAAACAAAGAAGTTTTAGGCACACTGATCTGTTATATATATATCTCATTCATTCATTCAATGTGCACGCTCAAACAGAAATGGCAGTTGATGAATAACATGCTGTATGGAGTGAGTGAGTTCAGGTTTACGCCGCTTTTAGCAAATTCCAGCAATATCACGGCGGGGGACACCAGAAATGGGCTTCACATACTGTAACCATGTGGGGAATCGAACCTGGACCTTCGGCGTGACGAGAGCGGACGCTTTAACCACTATAGGTTACCCCACCGCCCCTTTCGTCAAGGAACAAACATGGGTTGTTGGTGTCTCATACACGGAATCCCCCCGCTTTGAATTAATTGTTGATTCGACTCGACCTTATAAGGCCATCCGCACTTTTAGTGTCTCTCAACCCAACCTCCACAAATTAGATTGGTTTGATTGTTTATTGTTTAACTCCGCACTCAGCAATATTCCAGCTACATGGCCGCGGTCTGTAAATAGTCGGGTCTGGACCAGACAATCCAGTGATCAACATCATGAGTATCGTTCTACGCAATTGGGAGAGATCAGGTATTCTATGACATTTCAAAATTTAGATCACTTGGGACTATTCTCTAGATTCATATATCATGTAGATCAAGTCTCTTTGCAACAATTTTAAAATCAGCGTTTAAAAAGAAATTTCAAGCTGGCCTGGTGTGCAAGGGTCAAAGTATTATGTTTGTTCACATCAGGGCAAGAATTTCCACATCGGCAAAAATGAGAGAAAACTGTTATTATTTCACGTTGGAATGAAAATTCAGGCGATTCGGGAGCTGGTAAACACGCAGTTCATTTTCACCTGTTTTTACGAGAGTTTCAATGGTCATTTGATAAACTTTCAGGATAAAAGGGGTTGGGGTGGGTGCGCACCCCTGCAAAACCCACCCACCACCCTCTGGATACGCCTATGCCTGCCTTGGCCTAATTCAGGAGTTCGATTACTGTTATAGAGAGGTGAATATCACTATTGTCCTTATTGCTGTGATTACTGCTCTTGCATTATACTGCCTCTGAATTTGTATTCCCATTGTGATACCCTTGTATTGATTTGTATGAATATGTGGACAAGGTTAATTTTAGAATTTTAATCAATTGTTGATTACGTCGCATTTCATTGTTGTTTGTTTGTTCAGGGATAATCTCCAGTCTTCCATTCTCCCTCGTTTGTTTCACTCCTCGTTCTTTTACTGACTGATTCACGATTAACGTTTTAGTATGTTTAGTGTCAGTATCTGTTTATTTGCTTTATGTATTTCAGTGTCTGTTCAAGTGCTTTATTAATCCTACAGATATTGTTCTATTTATTATATTTACCAACAGGGTAACAATAAACGTGATCACCGGTACCGTCCGGTTTAGAATCGATTAACAAACAGTCCCCATTAACCTGGTAGCAGGGAGCCATTGTTATTTCAAACACATCACACTGGCTGTTGTCAATGACGCTTGGTTTTGCAGGGAATTAATGTATGTTGCCAGACTTTGGTGTAATTCCATCCTGTTGTGCGAAGACTGGAATATCGGTATTTGATATTAAGTCCCATCGAACCTGGCTTATCCGGACACCTGGCTTATCCGACACCTGTCTTACACGGACACCTGTCTTGTATAAAGCTTTAGATTATGTAAGAAGTTTGCGAAGTCAAAATCTACATCGTATCGTCTAAGTGACCTTGGGTGAACAAGAGTTAATAAGAAACTTGCGATTAAATTTCACTGGACACAGTACTTTACCATTTAAATTGTTTCCTGCTCTGCCAGGCATTGTTCATATGTAGGGATTAAGATTATTTGTGTATTGTCTTCAAAACTAACCAATCAAAGGGAGGTCGACGGGTGAATCCTTTTGCAATCATTTTCATGAACATAGGATCTCAAGCGACAGTGACTGTGCGTCATTTCTAGTGATCTCTGGCAGTGATTTCCTGAGCGCTTCAATCACTTTACAACTGCCAGAACGTACGAAAGCTAATGCTGCCACTTTTGTAGAATACAATATTTTTTTCTGCGAAAGTTCTCACATTTTCCATTATTTTCTCGTAGCTTCAACTATTTTCTCGTAGCTTCAAGTTTCTGTCCAAACCTTGAAACTTCGAATATTTACACCCTGTTTTTCTCGTCCCTTCAACTATTTTTTCGTTGCTTTGATTAATCTCTTGTTGCTTCAAGTTTCTCTTAAAAACTTGAAATTTCGAGCATTTCTTTCTTGCTTCAAGTTTCTGCCAAAAACTTGAAATTTCGAGTTTTTGAAAGAAACTTGAAGCAACAAGAGATTAATCAAAGCAACGAAAAATATTATAACTATTTTCTCGAAGCATCAAGTAAATACTCAAAATTTCAAGTTTTTAACAGACACTTGAGTAACGAGAAAATACTCAAGCAACGAGAAAATAATTGAAGTAACGAGAAAATAATTGAAGTAACGAGAAAATAATTGAAATAACGAAAAATTAATTGAAATAATTAAAAATACTCCCAAGCACCGTCCAAATAATGGAAGCAACACTGAAAATATATTTTATGCCACAAAATTGGCAGCATTGGCTTTGTAAGAAAGTTCTGATGGTGTCCTAAATCTGTTTTGAATGATAATGTGCGGTGCTAATAGATAGGTCAGAAACACTTGGCACAGGCCATGGAGTTTAGCTCCTTCATATAACTGGAAAGCCAGAGCGAACGGAAGAAGGGTCTAACCACAAGAAGCACCACAGGAAAGGTTCTGGATATACCTTAGACGATTTCTTTGAGAAGTACAAGTTAGTCCAATAGGTATGAAATTAAATTTTCTGTGGAAAGTATTGTGTTTGATGTTTAACATAACTAAAGATTTGCTGAGGATCACACTTTGACAAAAGATGACTGGCGCTGGTATTAGCAAGTGAGTGAATGAGTACTGCTTAACTTTGCAGCTATTCGAGATGAGCACTGGTATAAAATGACAAATGTATTGTGAAGGGGTGCGGAAATTTGCTGCTTTTGTATCAGTACCATAGGGAAAGGGGGTCACCTACACAGGTCACTGAACAGACAAACAGCACAGGGGCCTAGATTTTTTCGAAGCTCTCTTAGCGCTAAGATACTCGCAAGTTAACGTTAATGTATGGCACTTACGAATATCTTAGCGCTAAGAGAGCTTCGAAAATCTAGGCGCAGGACCTGAGCCTTTGGAGTGGTACCAAACACTTCACCTACAGAAATACCTCTCCTAAAAACAACAACCTTGAACAGTCATCAGCAGCCATAATAAATGATGGCCGTCTTAACAGGCAATGACTGCTCTACTTATCAGTTGCAGTGCAAATGAAGTGAAATGCAGGTGCTACAAGGACCAAGGACAGGGTGGGGAGCAAATCAGCCCACTTCCATTGATGTGAAACTATCCCCAATTCTGGAGAAAGATAAAATAATTTGGTCATTATCAAGAAGAATAAAAACATATTTATACATAACCAGTTTGTTCTCAATGCAATGATAGGAACTCCAACTGACTAAATGATTGGAAACGATGGAGCAGACAAATTTCTTTACTTCATCAGGTTAGAATTGGTCTTCAGTAACCCATGCTTGTCACAAGAGGCGACTACTGGGTGGTCAGGATTGCTGACTTGGTTGACACATGTCATCATATTCCAATTGCGTAGATCGATGCTCATGCTGATGATCACTGGATTGTCTGGTCCAGACTCGATTATTTACAGACTGCCACCATATGGCTGGAATATTGCTGAGTGCGCTGTTAAACAACAAACAAACCAAGATTCATCAGGTAAGTTCACTGTAAATAGGTCTCTATGTCAACAACACTGTGTTTGTTTCTTAGCTGTTCATATATTAACTACCATTAACTGGTAATGACAAAAACTGAAATTTATCCAGTAATTTCGCTACAAAAGTGGATTGCAAAATGAAAAAATTTCAGCTCTCCAATTCTCCAAATACTTACTTAAGAACTACATATCCTTCTTGTACAACATAAATAAATGACACAAGACAAAGATATATAATTATCAATTTTATTGAAAATTATCTATAAAGTGCCACACTTGTTCAACACAATTTAATGACACTCACATCACGAAAGAGGTAACGGCATTATCCATTATCTGGGCTGTAGGTATTCTACCCAACCAAGCATAAACAATTCAGTATTAACATAGTGGTCGTGACAGTATTAACCTAGTGGTCGGTGACAGTATTGAACTTTTAAACAACTATAATAAAAATATATTCACAATGAGTTTTTTTAAAGTGTTCAACAACAGCAAAAAGAATCTCAACAACTGTGCCCCTGACTGACCCCAAAAACATTTTGTTGTATAAATCTATCCAAAACCTAAATGACAGGAGTGTGTTTAGAACCACATAAACTAAACCACATTATTAAACACAAATCTTCTTTAAAAGATTTTCAGATCCGCAAGTGAAACGGTGGTGTATTGGGATCTGCATTATATCCTGAAGTAAGAGCCACCATATATTTTACTAGATATGTCAGGAACCAAGAATATTTGGGGGTGTTTAACTGAAGAAATATCACCTCAAACTATTCACTTGGGGGTTAAGTATATATGGCACATCTGACAGCATTCTTTACTCCAAGTCATGGCAGCTAAGAATATTGTAAAGGTTCTTTGGTTTAAGGTTAATGCAAAGATCCATTCATGTATAAACCTGACCAACAAACAGTAAAACGAATTATGTTCTAATTATATTTCAATAGAACTACCCTTAAATTGCATAAGTTCCAAAAAAGAAAGCCATGTTAGACTGGAAATATTGATTTAAGCAAAATGTTTTAATAATTTATTTTTTTTAGATGTTTTAATTCAAAAGAAAAATAACTATTTTTTTCTCATGTCAATCAGTACAGTAATTAAGAAAGTTTATAAAACAAATTTGTTTGATTGTTATGCTCTTGTAATGAAGATGCAGGGCAGCCTAGTGGTTGAATTGTTTGCCCGTCATGCCAAAGACCCGGGTTTGATTACCCAAATAGGTACAATGTGTGAAGCCCATTTCTGGTGTCCCCAGCCACCATATTGCTGGAATACTGCTAAACCTTACTCACTCACTCACCCCAGTAATGATGCCAGCTATTATCACAGACAGTCAGCTACTACACTATACATCTCTGCACATACTCTAGCCATGGGGACCGCCTCTGTGGTGTAGTGGTTAGAGGTCCATCTCACCTCACCTCACCTCTAGCCATAGGGCAGCTTAGTGGTTTGTCATGCCAGTAATGTTGCTGGAATATTGCTAAAAGCGACGTAAAACCCAACTCACTCACTCGAGCCATAGGGTAGCTTAGTGGTTTGTCATGCCAAAGGTCCAGGTTTGATTCCCAAATTGGGTACATTGTGTGATGCCCATTTGTCGTGTCTCCAGCCGTGATATTGCTGGAATATTACAAAAAGCGACGTGAAACCATACTCAACAAATTCTGGCTGTTATCACTACAGCCATGCTCATTAAGACTTCCTTTCCACTCATCTCTCAAGCACCATTCCATGAACTACTGGTGTTATCAATGACAGGTGTTCTGACAATGCAACTTCGGTGTGAAATTCTCCATGTTCCAAGTTGCCAGGTTAACAGCATATTGTGTAAGAATTTTGTCTCATTTTGTGACAGGTGGTTGAGTTACGTGAGTTGGAAAGTTATCAAGGGCATGATATATGTGAGCTCATATTCCAGATAGTTTCACAAAAATCTAAAATCTTAAAATGACAAGTAATAGAAAAGCCACTTTAGAGCTCTGATTCTTGTATTATTTTAGTTTGTTGAGGAGTGCTAAACAGAAGGTAATAAAAGCAATATCAATATATACAAATAATATAAAATTATGTGGTATATTACACATGTAACAACATGAAAACTGCAACAATAATAAAATAGAACACTCACATTAGCTTCATATTATAAAGTGACAAATGAGATGTGAAATAACACTAACATATAGTGTATGTATTTATGACACAAATATGCCGGATTATGAATTACCTTGCTAGCATACAAAAATAACTTTTCTCCAAAATAAGTCTTTTTTCAATCATGATGTTCAAGGTAATCATGTTTCGTATAAATAAAGGCACATCCTTCTGCCATACACAATATATATATCTACAATCACGATTTGAGTTGTCACTGTTACCATGGCAACATCACCAAACAGAGGCTGTGTGTGCTCAAACAGTTAGAAATATGTACATTCACTGGTTGACAAGTCAGTGCTACCATGGCAACGACTCTATACAGAGGCTGTGTATGCTCACACAATTCCAAATCTCTTCATGCACTGCTCGAGAAGTCAGTGAGAACATGGCACAATTCCAAACAGAGACTGATTACAGTTACCAGATACCATGGTTACCTCAATGACACGTTAACTTATATCACATATAAATACAATATAAACAAACTGTTTTGGTAGATATTATACTTCAATAAAGGCCACAATAAAGATTATCAGTTGCAAGGGATATTCCATTTTCATCTTTTTGTAAAATCTGATCATGCTGTTCACAGGCTCAGAAACACAATTCTACAGGTTTCCATGGTTACTTAGAGAATGTAATACCGGTAATGGTTTTATGGTGACAAACTGAGTGGTCTTGGAGGTGAGCAAATAGAAAATTAACTTATTATGGCTTGATAAATAAATGTCTACTCCATCTAAAGTAGAGATGTTCTATTGAAAGTAAGAAATGAAAACTGGATTTGAACACAATTCAGCTGGGCGTAAAGACAAACACACATGACTTGATCATCAGGTGAAGTTACAAAAATAAATATGAGATTTGAAAACTGTGGTGAAACTTTGATGCTAATGACAATTTTTGAAAATCTTTTCTGAAGTAAACAGACACTATTCTCCAAGGTCTGGTGCCTATTTCAAGACCTTGTCTGACTCTGTTTGAAGCAGATATTGTTTCTATGCATGAACGAATTCATCAATCAACAGACTTACAAACATCATAGGCTCAGTTGTTTGAAAGACTTCGTCAAACCTACAGAAGATGCCAGTTTCCCCAAGTCTAAGGCTGGCATTTTGTATGAAGACAAAATATTCAGATATTTTCAGTTACACTTGCAAAACCATACAGTTTATTAATCAAAACTATGTACCTGAATTATACCTTGCAAAAAATGTGATTTATTTTAACAGTCAGGTGCAAAATAATATTCAAGCAATCACTTTATCATCACAGAGCATGCAGATGAAAATATAACATGTGGAGATCATGCAAAGTCAGTCAAGCTTTTACAGGAGACAAGAGACATTTAATGGAGGATATGATATGAATCTTAAATATATAAACGTGTCCATGAAGGTTTAAAACTCTGAGACTTGCCAAAGAGTTTTAAACGTTTAAAGTGTTGATACTTCGGACAAGAAAATGTATGATTTTAATATTTGATACAGTATAAAGCTATGTCTTATGGACAGGAAGTAAAGCTAACCAGTTTCAGAGTGATGTCATCTGATTGTGAAGTCATGTTAACAGATGACATCACAATGGTCATAAAAGGCCAGTTTGGGATGATTTTCTCTTGCATGCAAAATTATAGTCACTGTTAAATTAGTCAAAGCTCAGCTTCCACTCTCAGGCATTCAACGGAGAGTGACCTCCCTTTTGTGAATGACAAACACCCCCAAGGCCTGATTGTCAAAGATAATGCCCACACACCACAATTTTGTTGTTATTTGACATCAACCTGAGAATAAAAGTTCATATATGTGCTGTTCAACAACAGGCATGCTTAGACAATTCATTCCTTATAGGAACAGACTTTATTAGTTAATGCCACACCAAACTGCATGAGATTTTATTTTGTTATGAAGTCTTAACTTTTCATGTTTCTTATTTCCTGTCTGTAATAAATAACCAGTATAAATAAACAATATTTATATATCCCACACTGATCTGAATATACCTCATCAAATCTGGACATCACGAGAATGTTTATTATATTTGGTTATTCGAACACAATATCTCAATAATCTTATCACAATTGAACAATATGCATTCCTTCACAGATAAAAACATAACAAACGTACTGACTGAAAGTGTATCTAAGGGCTAGCCATGTCATAAGTTAGCATTAAGTGAGGTTTCCTCTATGGCTGACTGGCTGTTGTCAGACAGAGTGTGACTAATGCCCCGAGAACGTGTCCGTTCAGAGTCCTTCCTCCTCCGAGTGGGGGTATCAACACTGTCACACACCTTCTGGACCACATTGTTGAATAACACCGGTTTGTCTGCATACACGTGGTGACCAGCACCAGAGATGCTCTGTAACAAATATAAAGTGATAAAATAGATTTAGTGAGTTTGGTTCAGTGCCTTAATTGAAAAGAATTTCAGTTATATCCAGGTGTATTTATTAGGGAGGAAAGTCGCAGTCAAGCAGATCACAGGCATTTACCACTTTGCTGAAAGATAAGAGCAAGTGTTTATCGCTGATGAACTTAGAAACACAATCTGGAGGAATCAGGATTCAAACCTACAGTCATTCAGGAATGCCAAAGGGAAGCAACTCTGTCCAACAAATTTCAGCATCTTCGTAACGTAATTTAACTGAACAAAACTATAACAGTTTGTTAAGTGTTGGGCGCATATAGGCCTTTTAAGGCCCAAGGTCGCCCTAAAACCTTATATACCTACCTACCCTCAGCATCTTAGACACATCAGCCACATTTGTAACATTCTGAATTAATATATTCACTGACAGACCACAAAACACAGAGAAGACAACTAGAAAAAGTTACCTGGCCTACAACTATATTACCAAGCCCTGTATGACAGGATAAAACATAAATTTACTTAGTACGATCTTTAAATGTAAATAGGCAACAGCATTTAAGAATACAAAAACCCCATCACTGCTGTTACTTTCGTAGGCATATATACTTGTGAATGATGGTTTTAGCATTGACCAGCCATTAAAATATATCTTCCACAGGCTGGACAAATATTATCCCCATATCTGAAGAAACAGCCACTTATAGGTAGGCTGTATAATAACATCATTTTTATTTCTTGTTTTACGGATCCTCCTGTCGTATTTTTTCAAGAATTAGAAAAAAAATATAAATTAATTTTCCCGCTCAAAAAATTATTTTTTTTATATTTATTGGCCAAAAATGTAAATGTGCAAGAAAGTGCTTTTAGATTGCTTATAACTTTCCAAAAGTAACATACTTTTAGTATTTAAAAGGAATATTTCTTTGACTGGTGATTTTTATTTATATTTTTTTTCCTCCTGCCTTTCTGTTTTCTGAGGACAAAAATCCGTAAAACAAGAAATAAAATTGGTCTGGCCTTAACTTACATTATGATGTTCATAGACAATTCTTTGTTGAAAATGATGTTCGAGGTGAGGCTATATTGCAGTATGTTGTCAAAAGGACAGTATGTCGAGTCTTAAATACACAAAATAGTGCTGTGTTATACCCAAAAATAATCCTAAAGATTGTGTCTGGCACCTTGTTCTTTAACACTGAGCCCAACATAATGTTGACATGAGAATCAACATATTAAATTGTTGAACTGGCATATAACGAAAACTTGGGTAAGAGTGAAATTACATTTACCTGCACAGCAACATAACTGTCACTCCGAAGCTTCTTAACATGGTGACCTATCTGTTGGTCAATCCATGACCTTGACCCATGTATGAAGGTCATCGAGACTTGAGGCGCAACATCTGTTATTCTGTTTATCATGGGATTTCTTGCCCAGCCAAAAGACATCTGCATCGTCTTGAATGCAGTTTCTCCACTAAAAAGAAAATGCATAGAAACAGATTACGCTGATGGGCTGTTAAATAGGGGAGTAAAAAGTAGTACAGTCTGGTAGGCTTTCACAGCTCTGTCACGATCATCCACTGCCTCACTGAGTTACTGGTTGCCAGGGTGCTGTTGTACAAAGCAACCTTAGCAATGTGACTGTTAGGTTTGGGGGTTAAAATTACCTTAGTGCTAAGACTGACTGACTTACTGATTGAATTTGGTTTTATGCCGCTTTTAGCAATATTCCAGCAACATCACGGCGGGGGACACCAGAAATGGGCTTCACAAATTGTACCCATGTGGGGATTCGAACCCGGGTCTTCGGCGTGACGAGCCAACGCTTTAACCACTAGGCTACCCCACCGCCCCTTAGTGCTAAGATCACTTTGTACAACGGCACCAAGGACTGATCCTAACTGCTATAATAACATAACTCCTCTGCTTTAACGTGACCCAAGGGTCATGACGATGTCAATATTCCAAAGAAAGAAGTACATTCTTTTTCAAATATTGCCAGCTGTTAGTGGTGGCTATTGCTAATTGAGACCACTGACTGACCAATCAGAATCCATTATTCCCATTTTGTTTGTTGTTTATGCTTCACTCAGCAACAGACCAGCAGTGACATCTAGACAAGTCAAGGACAAGTTTGTTGTTTAATATCACACTCAGCAATATTAAAGCTAAATGTTGACATTCAGTGAGTATTCAAATCTGGAAACGATCATCCACTGATTTGAAATCACAAGCAAACATCTAAGCAGTTTTGTAACATATGTTATATTTAGGATTACACTTTCTTAGTAAAGAACAAATTTTATTACTTTTGTTTGGTTGAGTCCCATCCGGGAAATCTAAGCAGTTGTGGTACATGCAAATGACACAAAAGAAAGTCCTACCATTCAAATGTAATAGTCGGTTCTTATGAAAAGCTGATGTTGCTGAAAATGGCTGACAATTCATGGTAGGATGTATTGTATTTAATGACTTGTTCATCACTGCCAATGCACAGGTAAAATTATCATGCTTTGACTGACATCATCAGCAGACTTGTGACAAGACATACCTTGGTTTCTGAGCGTTGCAATGATAGATATATTCAAATATCGTTTCATCTGCGAAAAGATCAGCAAACTTGGTTTGAAGATCTGGGCGAAAACGTTTGACCAGACCTGGACCTATCAACAGAGGAGAGAGAAATATAAAAGACAATCTTATTGGTTCAGGAACTGTTCCCAACTAACTCAATCATTATTTGTTCAGGTATTGATCGACTTCCCGTTAAACCCAACTCACGCTCTCATTATTCGTACAGGTTGTATACCATGCACACTTAACAAATAAATTGTATGAAACATTTGATCATTCTGAGGCAGGGATTGGGAAAGGCATGGGCCATGGGCCATTTTGCCCATTAGAATAAAAAATGGCCCTTTAAAATTTTGAAGTTTACAATATATGCAAGGGCAGTGGCCCATTCTTAATTCAGAAAATGGCTAATAACCCTGAAAATGGCCCATTGTCAAAGTTCTCTATCCCAATTGGGCCTAGTTACAATGGAGTGAGTGAGTGAGTTTAGTTTGACGCCGCACTCAGCAATATTCCAGCCATATGGCGGCGGTCTGTAAATAATCAAGTCTGGACCAGACAATCCAATGATCAACAGCATGAGCATCGATCTGCACAATTTGCAACCGATGACATGTGTCAACCAAGTCAGTGAGTCTGATCACCCGATCCCGTTAGCCGCCTCTTACGACAAGCATGGGTTACTGAAGATCAATATTCTAACCCAGACCTTCACAAGTAAAGTTCAAGGGTTTAGTTACTATGGACAACATAGGGACCTGGTTACTATGGACTACATGTGGGAAAGACTTATACCCGGGGCCTGGTTACTAAGGATCACACGTGGGAATGACTCACCCTGGGGCCTGGTTACTATGGACAACATGTTTTAAAGACTCACCCCCCGGGCCCTGGTTACTATGGACAACACATGAGAAAGACTCACCCCAGGGGCCAGCCACCCTCAGCCCTGCCAGAGGATTGAAAGGCTGCATCATTGTAGCAATCATCCTGATCCACGTTGGGACCCGCCTCTGTATCTGGTTGTCTGGGGGCTTCTCCGGAAACCCCCAGGGGTCCACAAGAATGAGATGCTTTACCCTGTCTGGATGCTGGATTGCATAGGAACTCGATATGAAAGCACCTAGGCTGTGTCCTAATAGAATGAATTTTTCTAGCTTCACCTCCTTGCGCCATTCTTCTATAGAATGTACAAACTCATCTTCAGCTATCTTCGGATCACTACTGAAACTGGGTCGTGAACTCCGCCCAAACCCAAGGAGGTCAAATGTATACACTGGTCTGTTCTGTGCCAGAGCATCCATGTTCTGCACCCAAAGGCCGAGCCCACCCCCCATCCCATGCACCATCACTAGGGGAGTGTTCTCGGCCTTCCTGTTGAGAGTCACAGACCAGATACGAGACTGGGTCGACCTTACTGTCACAAAACGAGAGTCCATCACACTCTTCACACCTGAAACAGAACCATTACGCCATAACAAACTTCCAACCCTGCCTGACTTTCAAAAACAGAGTCTCACTAGACCCATAAATAAAGGGCATCTGCTGCTTTGAGCTATATTCCAGCAATATCAGAGGGGAAAACCATAAATGGGCGTCACACATTGTATCCATGTTTGGATTTGTCATTGTAAAACAGGTACAACTGACAGAGTTTGGTTTTACGCCGCTTTTAGCAATATTCCAGCAACATCACGGCGGGGGACACCAGAAATGGGCTTCACACTTTGTACCCATGTGGAGATTCGAACCCGGGTCTTCAGTGTGATGAGCCAATTCTTTAACCACTAGGCTACCCCACCGCCCCAAAACAGGTACAAATGCTGTGGTGCTGTATCTATTCACTGAACAACTGGTGATGTATTGCAGCTGTATTCCTTACATTGAAAAACTTCCTAATTTCTACTTACATTTTAAAATGCGCTGCTCAACCTGCACAAGCTGTGCCATTGATGTAGGTTTCCACTGGATCCAATGACGAGGTCTCACATACTCCAAACTGAAATAGGACGGAAAAGTGGTCATAGTACCAGTGTCATGATACCATAAAAACAGTGATGAATTATTTCGCCATGAAGACCAGCTAACAAGGAGTAATCAACCAGCTATAGTTTAACTTGCACGACTGGTTGATTTAGTCTATTTCTCATTATATTACTTTCAGTTGCAATAGGCAGAAAATTAACAATGGTAACAGTTGTCAACAAAAGCTGACAACATGAATATATAATTGACTATATTTTTCAAAATGTGGAATAATATGACTGTAGTAACCATGGTAATGAGTGGGTGAGTTTAGTTTTACGCCGCACTCAGCAATATTCCAGCTATATGACGGCGGTCTGTAAATAAGTCTGGACCAGACAATCCGGTGATCAACGGCCTGCGCATCGATGACCTGTATCAACCAAGCCACAAGTCAGCGATCCTGACCACCCGATCCCGTTAGTGGCATCTTATGACAAGCATTGGTTACTGAATAAGGCTGTAACGATTCACTCGCATATTCGGTGAATCGAACCCTAGCCCTTCATGAATTCAATTCATTATTCGTGGTCACCAGAACCGAATATTAACGAATATTTACGATTTCTTTAAGGGAGCATGTTTTACTTGAACCCTTGTGTACTTTTTGAAAGTGAGATATGCAAGAATGGAATATGTACTAGCCTTGCAGTAGCACAAGTCATGTTAGTTTGCCAAGACTGCACATGGTACTGTCAACTATAACTATTACATACCAAATTTGAGTGTCATGAGATCAACCAGGTTATTGCTGTGACAAATTAACACTGTCAACATGGGCGTTCCATATTGTACATCAGTCACTTAAACTACAATTATTCGTGAATAATTATTCGTATTCGTTACCCAATATTCATGATACGGATCATATTCACCACATAGTGTATTCATTGCAGCCCTATTACTGAAGATCAATTCTAACACAGATCTTCAAGGGTTAACTGTGGTAATGAATTGGAAATACTCTCACAGCTCACCAACTAATGAAAACAATACTGTAATTACACAACTAAATGTTTACTGACATGTCTACTATCTTTTCACTTTGGACAGAAGGTTAAGACCTAATGCATGTATACTACATATCTATTTCTAAAACGTTGTATTTGTGTAGAAACTGTCAAACATATACAAAAAAATACAGACTGACGTTGGGGTATAGTACATGAACTATAGGGGCTTATAAACATTACTTGCACACTGATCTAAGTTAGTATGGGGAGGAGGAAGGCTAGAATATTCCATTCATATAGAGTTGAGTTCCAGACTAGTTGCTCAAAAGGACTTTAGTTTACATCATCATCATCATCATCACATCAAGCCCCCGCCGTGATATTGCTGGAATATTGCTAAAAGCGGTGTAAAACCCAATTCTCTCATCATCATCATCCCATCAAGTCCCCCGCAGTGATATTGCTGGAATATTGCTAAAAGCGGTGTAAAACCCAATTCTCTCATCATCATCATCACATCAAGTCCCCCGCCGTGATATTGCTGGAATATTGCTAAAAGCGGTGTAAAACCCAATTCACTCATCATCATCATCATCAGCTCAGTCAGTGGATGAGTTCATCATTTTCATTCTCAGCTAATACTAATAGAGTAGAGAGTAGACAACCTCTGCTGCTAGTGTGGTGTTAGAAGTCACGTTATCAGCTCACCCAACTGGGTACCCAGTCTCTGCTGTGTGAACAGAGGCATACTGGGAACTAAAGCCACTTGCCTTAGGAAGACCCTACACATGCAGTAGTGCTGGTCCGATTAATTGAAATAATCGAAGATTGGTCGCAGTGACTAAACGACCAAGCATTCGATCATGTTTTCTCATAATCGAACACAAACAATTCTGGAACACTTTTGGCATTAACAATATTTTTCACAAGGTTGGTTTTATCAGTTACATTTCATGAGCACTACAAGCTCGTTCCAAGTCATGATTGAATTTATTTTAAAAAACCCAAGAAAGTTATGTTCCTAACATATTAGTCATCCTTTCAAGATGTGAAATTTGCCAAAAACAACCAAAGAACTTCATGGTTTTTCTTTATGTTTTTGTGCATTAACAAAAATAACCAGGAAAAATTCATAAATGACATAAAATGACGCTGAGCCAATTACTTTCCATCTCCTTCAATGATGATTGATCGGGTTGTAATGAAGCAATCATCAATTTTGAGATTTTAACCAATTCCCAACGCTATTATGCAGGACTAACGTCTTATCAACACTCCTGAGTCAAGCTGCAGTCAAATACAGTCACATACACTGGATGATCAAGGATGGCAAAACACAAGAGTATGGGTGTAGTGCTGATGAAAACATACTTGGCAAAATCTCAGACCTGCGAACACAGGCCCAGCTAAGGGAAGTAACTCTGCACAGTGAAACAAAACACAAACCACTTGGCCACTAGGGTGTAATGAGTTAGGTTTGAAACCAGTTTTGGCAATATTCCAGGACTTCTGATGCCGCTTTCAGCAATATTCCAGGAATATCTTAGTCTGTGACACCAGAAATGAACTTGAATCATTGAACCCATGAAGGGAAATGAACCCAAGTCTTCAGCATAATGTGCAGTGATGAGTGGAAGCTTTAACAAGTAATCTACCACAACATGCCTTGGCTAGTGCAGTGAATATACAATTCAGTCTTCCTTTTGGAGAGAGTTTATGACATTTGGAAGTCAAACCCACCCAAACTAATCTGAAGATGTTTAGCAAATTAAGAAACAGTTTCGGTCACAGGCCATGTGGTAGTGAGAGTTTCATTATGCAGAACATTGCATGCTCTACTTTACCTGATCAAGTAGCAGAGCTTTGTTTAAAAATAAGATTTCTCCTTATTATAACTGCATAATAAATACCCATAAAATTGCTAAGTCATTAAAATGTATGAATTTAAAGATGTTGGGATGGTCGGAGTAATATTATTTAAAATACATATTTCTAAGCATAGAGTGAGTGAGTGAGTATGGTTTTACGTCCCTTTTAGCAATATTCCAGTGATATCACGGCGGGAGACACCAGAAATAGGCTTCACATATTGGACCCATGTGGGGAATCGAACCTGGGTCTTCGGCATGACAAGCAAACGCTTTAACCACCAGGCTACCCCACTGCCCCTCTAAGCATAGAATAAACCAGACATACAAGAAAAACGTGATACTTGTTTACAGTGGTATTAATTTACATGGCTTGGGAAATTGGGCCCATCATATTTTCAGATGGCCCATTTTGTTTCTAATTGAGGGGGCCATTGGCACATTGACCAAACTGTCTTTCCCAATCACTGAGTGATAACCATAATAAATGGCAGGTACTATCTTCTTTTTAATAAAGTCATTATGTCTTTAATAAAGGTATATATTAAGTGTTATCAGTATCAGAAATGAGCGAGTATGGTTTTACGCCAGTTTTAGCAATATCACACCGGGGACACCAGAAATGGGCTTCACACATCGTACCCATTTTGGGAATCGAACCTTGGTCTTCGGCGTGATGAGCGAATGCATTAATCACTAAGGCTACCCCACCACCCATATCCAGAAATGAACCTCAGAACCTTGTTAATGCAATACAATGCATTTAATTTTGTGAATAATTTGTAATGAAACAAAATATAATAAAATATCATCTAAAACACAATCATGTTCAGACGGGTGTCAGGTCAATGCACTGACGATATACCAGTCAGTGAAAGGAATATCTAACGGTTATAATACACCATATAGACATTATTTAAGGCGAGGACTAAACCTAAACTCAACAGCTATTGTGTAACTGGACGTAAAGTAACAACCACATACCATAATTTCATCAAATATTCCGTATATTTTTATATATTTTTTTGCTGTTTCGTAACTGAATGAACTATGAACTTAATAATGTGGTCAAGTTCAAGGCTTCACCGAATTCCATATCCCCCAGAAACTACGCAGTATGACCAACTTACACCACTCTGATAGCACGCTGCACAGCCCTTGTAACAAACTGGAAAGTATCCGATAAAAAACACATGGTTATATAACATCACTGACTGTCCGAAATGTAAACATTGGCGACGTGAGAACACTACTGCTTGAGTAACATCAATCGTAACTTACAACATGTGCGGTGTATTAAAAACTAACAAAATTTCATATCAATACGGCAGAAGAAAAGAAAAATGTCAACAAACCATGCACCACATTTCCTACAAAACAGATCACCATGGGTACATGGGTTTTTACGAAATGACATTTCATGGCCATTTCAGTTACATTTAGTTGTACCCAAACATCATGTGACACAAACACATCATAACTTCCTACCTTCCAGGTCAGAGGACATTAAATAGGAACAATCGCCTCGTGAAAAAAATCTGACACAGTTTTGTGCATTATCACGTTATCTGAAATCCTGCTAGTGATCTTACTTTTGCTCTGTTGGTTCGTCGAGTCTCCCTGCGTCTGTGGGCTGCGCCATGTTTTCCTCAAGTCACGTGATCAATGTCTGTCGTTCTGAAACTTGGAGAGCAGTCGATAACGTACTCTGAACCATGACATAGCAAATTCCAATCAAAGAAAAATCTCGCGTTAGGTGCGGACAAATAAAAACTGGTACTTGCGATAAGCGCAGTCTTACACATGGACGTAGAAAAGATCGTCTGATGTAATCACAGCCATAATTGCAAAGCCTGTCATCAGCCACGTATTCTCATTTCTATGTATGATTGTATATATAATCCTTTAGAGGATATCGACATAACTAGAAACGTGCATACATAGTATGTGTGTTTGCGTGCGTGTGTGTGTATGTTTACATGTCTGTATGTATGTAGGTGTATCGGTAGGTAGATATAGGTGAGTCATTAATTTTGTTCCACATCTCACATGTCAATGAAATGATTACTTTAATTCTTATTTGTGAATGAAAGACGTACTGAATGAATGAACAAAAGAATGGATTGATGGATGAAAGAATGGGAGTGGAGGTAAAATAAACATCATCACAACTAATGTAATAGCGTTGATAAGTAATACAAAACATGCAAAAAACAAATTCTATTACATTTCAAAAGCACACATCGATCTATGATGCGATTTTTCGTGAATCTGAACCAGATACATCACACCTGAAATAATATTAAAAAGTACTGTTGGAAATTAAAAAAACAAACAATTATGTAGTTAATATGTGAAAGTGTGATATATCTGTTAACGTACGTGTGGAGTAACTACAGTCTCAGTGGTATAGAGATAGGAAACGTAAGAAATGGATTTTACTGAGGAGAAATTAGTGCAAACATACAGCACGTTTCTGAAGGAAGCTAACGTTACAAAAAGCACATATAGTCCGAAGGCTCTAGGCATGTTAGGCAGCGTTACCTGGGGCATCCGATGGGAGCTTTAATCCGTGTAACATTACATCATCAACAAGTCAACTCGCAAACAAAAAATGGAGTAATGATAGTCAAGACTGTTGATTCGTCTCCCTTGTTTGTCACATTGTCAAACCATTGTTAACATCACTGCTTTGTTCGTTGACGCCACTGTCTTCAACAGCTTGGTGATACTAAGAAAAATCAGATTCAAACCGTCTTTAAACATCTTCTCGGTACTGTGAACATTATTTCAACTCGGGCATATTTCCCGTAATCACTCGTACCTCGTTGGTTTTTTCTCTAATTAAAAGATACAGCCACCCAAAATATATACAAACGGGATACAATCCCTACTAAAGTGTGTATATTGATGAATGAAACACGCTGTGTTTTAACATAGCCAAACACAGTAAATCGTAAGATTTACAAAGCGAGAGGGGCGGTGGGGTAGCCTAGTGGTTAAAGCGTTCGCTCGTCACGCCGAAGACCCGGGTTCGATTCCACACATGGGTACAATGTGTGAAGCCCATTTCTGGTGTCCCCCACCGTGATATTGATGGAACATTGCTAAAAGCGGCGTAAAACTAAACGCATTACAACGCGAGAACGCACTCGGTTCGTATGGGTCTCCATTGGCGGGTTATAATCATTGCGCTGCGCACTTTATAGAGATTGGGTCTTGCGTGTCTGGTATTTGTGTGGCTTTATCTGTTTAGGTGTGCACACATTGCCAAGTATGGTTCCTCTCTGTTTCCCTCTAGTAGGCCTTTAACAGTCCTAACAACTGTATAATAAGAATACCTAACCAGCTTCGGTGATAAGCGGTGTCTTGATCATGACGTCAGAGTTATAATAACGTCCCAATAATCTGGAAATCATTGTGATAGAATTCCTTCAAGCGATGTGTTCAACTATACACATGGAAACACGTATCGCAACCTGCAAGTCTCTGGGCCAATAAATAATCAGCTGCAACATGCCTATGACCCATGAGTTTGCGGTCTACTCCCATTTGTGAGAACTTTCAGTTGTGAGACTCCCAGTTATGAGACAGTGGAGTAGGTAATTAACAAAGAAAACACACCATACTCCCCTGTCTGATAGAATGAATTCACCCTAGCTCATTACTGATTTGCTATGTAACTGAATCTTGTGGAGGTAACTTAATGAAATTTTATAAGATAAATTGATTAACATACTCAGGTAAATGTCTTTAATAATTAAACACTTTGTGTAGGTAACTTCGTGATCAAAGAGAAATTAATTTACCTACTCAGATTTACTCCGTCTCCGAAACTACAAGCTATAGTTTAAGAAATAACTCTGAAATAACTCTGAAATTTACAGTCGAAATGCCCCTTATGCCAAACCCTTTCTACCCGACACAATAAATTTATGGAATGCCCTACCAAATTCCAAAGAGTCATGCAGTCTCAAAGAATTTTAAAACCTAATTACAAAAAAACGAAAACAAGATTTATATTGATCTTAATTATGGCTCTTGTTTTTGTCAAAACGTTCATTGCTGCCTCAGGCTCGGATCTAGCGACCCAAACGCCGATAAGTATAACAGACATTTAATAGACAGTGCATGTTGCTCTTGTGGATATCAACTACCCGTTATAACCTGGATAATTTTTTTAACGGAAACAAAGAATTTACTCCTTGTGTAAACCAGAAAATAGTTGAATCCGTCCACGATTATATCATCAAGACACAACCTTCAAACTTTCACAGGGAAATACTGAAATTAACTCAACCTTCTCGTGATTGATTTATATTCCTACAATAGATTGTTAGACACACACAACTGTAAGTCTCTAATTATGACTACTTAGAGAATAGTTGTATTTGATGTAATCTGTATATATTTATATGTACTTAAAAATATATTTATGCAATAGTCAATATCGATGACATCACATCCTCCATTTCATTTTATATTTTATGTTGCATGGGAGCGGTGTTAACATAAGCAGTAATACTTCAACAATCCCAATTCATTTTCATAAATAATAATAAGATATGTTTAAACCAAAATGACTTTCAAACTTCATAACAGTCAATAATAATGTGTTATCATAATTACATATTCTTCTGAATAAATAAAATATTCAATGAACTATGCCTCCTGTGGGTACTGGGCTGGGCTGATCCCACTTTCATTGTAGGGATGTGGAAACACCACCTATGTGCACTGAACCATTAATTAATGTGTCTCACAAATGGGAGGAAACCGAGTTTGCTGCTGGAGGTTTGCACTTTGTCTTTCTATACCCATCCTTTCAAACTTTGAAATTAGTAACTCTTTGTTGCCAATGATAACCAGGTTTTAACATCATATATAAATATCCTATATTAATAATAATAATACTAATAATAAGAAAAAGAATGATAATAATATTAATTACTCAACTTGCAGGTAACCCATGAGTTTGTCGCTGGAGTAGTTTATTCCCTGATTCTGTATACCTATATTATCACACTTTGAAAATTTGAACTCTTTGTTGATGTATAACCAGCTCTTACATGTCTGTAACCCAGAGAATCTGTTGCTGGAGTGATGCACTCCCTGACTTTGTGTACCTATGTTTTCACACTTCGAAATTAGTAAATCTTTGTTGCTGATGTATAACTAGCACGAGCATGCCTGTAACCCATGAAGTTTGCTGCTGGAGTGGTGCACTCCCTGACTTTGTATACTAGTAACTATATGTTTTTACTTTGACTCTTTATTGCCAATATGTAACCAGCCCTGACATGGAGTTGTGTACTCCGTCTTTGTATACCTATCTGAAATGAATAAAAAAAACAGTATCGCAACACACATCCTACCTACATCAAGAGGCAAATCATACAATGTTATAATACCACAAAATATGTATACATTAATCTTGACCAGGAACCCTATTTCCTAAAACTATGGTCCAGTTTAAACATGCTATTTACAACCGTTGAGTAGGTAAATTATTTCGATGTACATGTACATTGACTCTGTACAATTATACTGAAGTATTATCGGCCTTTACATGTATGTATTGAACTGTATTCTTTTACATATGTCAACCTGTATGTATACCTGAAAAAAGCAACACCCCATATTTGTAGTATCACTGTGACCATTAACCATAGCACAGGAACTTATCCAAACCTCAGTTTAACGTACTATGTAGATAAATTGGCCCTCAAGGATTGATTAAATCAATCCATTGGTTTTCAAAGTCATCGAGCTGTAAGAACAGTTCACTGAAACTATACATTTACTTAATGACGGCTACACGGTCGCCGTTGATCGTGCATATCTAAAATCAATGTATGGTGCGCCCAAAGTGTCAAAATAATCATGCAATCAAACACCATTATGACATGAATAAAATGGCAATATGCAGGCTAAAATTATAATAGGTGTTGCGATACTTTTTTCCATGTGTATAGTTTGTTGTTACTCATAGTGTTAGAAATAGCCGAGTAAAAGCTTAGCATGTTTGGCTATTTTGTCCATACAACAATCTCCAGTGAAGGAAAACAGTATCCCAAGCGGTTCAAGATGTGTGAAACATGCCGAGAAGGGTCATCGCCTTATATTCCGGCTGCAAGAGACGGACAGCACGAACTGAGAAAGCGAAAGCACGAGACGAGAAAGCGATCACGAAACATGTACCACCATGACACCACACATGCAGTCGTTGTAGTCGTTAAAAGTAAAGATGCGCCCG